GGCTTCGGCACTATTAGTAACCACAATGCCTACTCCGTAATGACCTACTATGTGTGCTTCATCATAGCCTGATGTGAGGAGAAAGTATCTCAAGGACATATCCGGCTTTTAGAACTAAGATCCTATATTCATATCGTCGATACGCAGAAAACACCAATTACTAAGGATTGCCTTGCACCCGTCAGAAAAGCGTTTTAACGCACTTGCATCACAGTCTTCACTTTGAAGTACCCAGATTCAGTGATTGACGAGGCTTCAGAGTCTGCAATCCACTCCGTATTAAATTGCTTACAGTGCTATTCCAGAATGACGTTTGACGAGCGACATCCAAGTTGCTTGAGGGACTGTAACATGTCGGAAGAAGGGGGAAAGGAAAAAGGTTGGGTACGGAAGACAAATGGTTAAACAAAGATTGGGATTTCTGAGCAGTAGCCCACTTATCAGTAGCCATTCCGCTTGATGCAATAGGCAGCTAGATCCTGATTGTCCTATGCGATGATCGATGCAGTTTTGAATTATTCATATGCTATGTGTACATCAGAGTTTGATAGAAGGGTACCTCTAGGGTATCTAGCAACTAAGAACCGAGATGCAAGGCGGTGGGTAAAGCGATGTGGAAGCCCATTAAAATGGATCGATTATCCCTATGTCAAGTTTTGCGGACGGAAACGCGAGTACTATTCACGCTCCCAAACTGGAAGACCAGGAGAGTGGACTTCCTCTGACCTCTACTCTTCGACCTTCCAGGTATCATTCGATTTTGGGCTTGATAAAATTGAAGTTGAAGCAACATTTTTGTATCTTGTTTTCATAATATACACATGGTTGCCTAAATTCATTTGAACTGGATAAACCAAAAGATCGCTTTTTCATGCTGTCATTGAACGAATAGAAATACCAAGAGACAGGTAAGAGCCAGGAAATCTGGCCGGATTCGTTGTCACATTTACAGATTTACGATGACATAACTTAACAACTCAAGACCCGTTACACTCCAGAGGTTGTCGCAGAAAGTGCACACAGATGACATAAAATCTTCGGCACCAAAACACTAACTGGCATGGTAAAAGCCTACTTGTGTCAGATAGATACCGATTCGTCATAAGTTATGTATCATAGATACAATGATTAATAATGTCCTTCACTGGTCATTCACCCACATGCTCACCCCGAGGCAGTACACTCCCTAAGTGTATATCTTGCGCAGTCTTACTGAATAAACTATCAGGTTTGCGCTCCACTACAACGTTTACATTATTTTCAATATACATGTGTAACTATACAAGCACAGAAATGAGTTGATCGGCAAACGAGATATTCTCTCATACGTAGTCATTCGTGGAGATTTGTCTCACTTGCATCAGTATAGAAAGGGAAAACCGCTGTTGCATAAATTTGTAGCCACTACCTCATCCCGATGCCGCACCCAACCAGGGAGGGTTTGTGTTCCAGCATCCTATTTGCGCACACTGTCTTTCGTTCTATAGGCATAATCAAATGAAAAGCTGCCATTAGCGTGTGCGTGTGTGTGTGTGTGCTGTTTGTGTGGAGAAAGAAAGCAGGAAGGGAACACAATCAAACTTGAACGTAACCTATTCCAGAATGAAAGGACGAACAGAAGATGATCTACCGCGATATCGTTGACTGGTAACCATGAGAGCATCACCAACCTCGTTTCAGACATTTTGGGTGTCGCGATGATTCAGTTCACATAAAATCTGATTTGTAGACAAAATATTGAGCAATGGCCTGTCAATCAACTAACAATTTTAAGGATTATAAGAGAACCTGAGTAGTGATAATCTCACCCTCCCTCCATAATCTCCGGCTCATTCATACCATAACAATAGGAAGGGCATGCTCAAACAATACATTCCATTGGGTTGATATTTTTTCGACTGTCAGACAGGATGAAATTCGCCCACAATCTCGGAGACACAATGAACCACTGAGGTAGTGTGCCGGGGAAAACCACTAATCAAATACACAACGGTTGCACATGGCGTAAACTCAGTCCACATTTAGTGAACTTCATGCAATTGATGAATCTTTGTTCACTGGAAACAATAAGCGACGTCCAGTAGGAATAATCTTTGTTTATTTATCTCCCATTTATTTAAGTGTCTTGTGTCGCTCATCTCGCTTTTGAGTAAGTTAGTGATATCACCAAACAAAGAAAGGAACTTGAAACAGGATACCATTATAGAATTATTGTTTATTGAATCCGACGATATTCAGTTATCAGAGAGCTAAGTATGAATTCCGAACAGGGAGATTGAGAGAAATTTTCCGGAAGAAAGGTCATGTATGGAAATGATACCAAAAAGAAATCGAACAATTCAATGATGGTTTGACGTGAGTACTGCAACTCCATTCAAAAACTAAAAACCTGTTTACCAATCCAAACAGGTAAGTTATAGTCTCTTCAAGCAAACACGGATTGGCTGAATCAGTGATTGACTGCAGCTGACTGACTGACTGACTGACTGACTGACTGCAGCTGACTGACTGACTGACTGCAGCTGACTGACTGACCGACTTTGATTCGTTCAACAAAATAACTTTGTTGTCTATTGTTTGCTTTGAAAATTGTCTTCTATCTCGGTTTCACAGCTTGATAATCAATCTTTCATCGCGCTTGTTTAATGCACCTTATCATCGAATAGAATACACTGTTCTGAACTGCTTGTAAACAATTGATGTTTTTCCACTTGAAAATAGTTCATTATGTGCGAATACGTTTCCCGGTCGCTCAACAACAACCAGCACGATCTGTTTGGGAGAAGAATCCACTTCTGTTCAGCGTCAAATTACCGCAACGTCCAATTCCCTAGAGTGCATCATAACACTTTACCGCGTCGCGCCTCTTCAACCGGATCGAACCAATGCCTGTGCAGCCCTTTAAATATCTATCTCTGCTCGTGTTACCTATGAGCTGGTCTGGTGGACAAAGGGTTGACCAGATATACAAGCGGAACAAACATCAGAATCAATGTGGATACACGTGTGTGTGTGTGTGACTGCCTTCCACTCAAGTCCAATATATTTTCTTCATTTTTCCCCGAGGAAGACAGAGAGGAACAGGCAGAGATGTTGCCATAATCGCAAAGTGATTTCAACCAACTTTATTCTCTCACTGTTTACGGCGTTGTTTTTTTGTTAGAAAATTCGATGGAGGTTAGCGTAGCTTGAATTATCAAACCAATGCGTGAGGAAATGATCCGAATGAGCTCTCTCTCTCTCACACAACACAATTCTCGTTCTAGTGACGAGGGTTATAGGAATTGATGATGACTATGCACCAGCGAAAAAAGTCGTGCGAAATTTTTAGAAAATCTGGGTGGGTGGATGGGTGAAGGGGGGCGGATGCAACACACGAACCACATACAGCGAACGGATTGTGTTGTCCCGAATGTTTGACACTCATGAGCCGCTCGTACCGCAGCAAAAACGAATCCTTGCCAAATGTGTAAATTATTACAGATCATTCACCGACTGACTGTCCCACTGTCTCAACCGCAACATGAAAAGCAATGATATCTGTGAAGAAGTAACATTGTGATCTAACCCCCCCCCCCCAACCCACTCCTCTTAAACATCCATAATTTGCTTGAATGCAGTGAATGTATGTGGCAGTATGGGGCAGTTCGAGAATAATTATCGTCCGTCAGAAGAGAAAGAGAGAGAGAGTGGGATAGTGAATGACTCGTCCGAGCTTGCTTAATAATCACATTGATATCAGTGACGAAAACGATGAATCACTGAGCGGTCAGTGTTGTATTCAGTCCTATCTCAACTGTGACAGAGTTAAAACAACGATGTTATCTTGTTCATCATCGTGTAGCACACCAAAAATACGGAATCTATAGTCAGTGATGCTGCGGAGCTCACGAATATCCGTTGTGAAAATGTAACATGTGTGTGTGAGCGAAGGACTGAAGCGAAGTGGCCGAATGTTGGAAACAGTCAATCTATAGATGCATTTCGATGTCACAACCCAAACCGCTCAATTGGGTTTCACGAATTAATGATGGTAACTGTGAACTACCCCAAGGAATGTATATGTACGGTAACGGAATTTTTCAGACTCCACAGTCAAAGAGTAACTACGCACATTTTTTTCAATCTTGTCTTCGCCATTCCTCATAACTAATGGAACGACGAGGGGTCAATTTAGGTGTTTCCATTCTGAGCAAATATCACTGTTCCAAAACATTGCTGAGAATTGCTGAAATTTTTTGTACCAGGTAGTAACATCCCTGTCCGGTGACGTTCGGCTGATCCAACGACAGTTACAATGCACTTCGCATCACGTAGGATTGGAGTCCAATAAGCTACTGATACCCAATCCTGATTGGCAACGGGGGTCAGCGAATAGAGTTAACAGACCCCCCCTACTCGGGGTGGGATTCGATTGGATTCATTATACATCCAGATGAAGCAGTGATGGGTGTCATTTTACATGTGTCTGAATGACAACTCGCTACTGACTGAAAAAAGTTCATATTTTCCTTTCCAGGAAAATCCCATCAAACTTGCTCCCTGTTGCTTTGGTGTTGCCCACTTGCAACCTGTATTACGTGCTTTCCATGGAGAAATTATATACAAATATAGGTAGATAGATTTTTCACATAAAACTTATTATCATATATATATTTATATATGAATACGATCTGCAATTTTTAATTCGTTATGTTCCGGGATTGATTTAAGACCTTTCAGAGTCCAGTCAAGTTGCTTCTGTATCACTTTAGCATGTCCCGGTACTCCACGAACAACAATTGGATACCAGAATATCTTTATTTGGCAATGAAACATCGCAGATTGATATCTGAATGTCTTACATTGGTTAGACCCTACCGAGGTCCAAGAATCACGTTTAATTTGAGATTTGGGGGCACCAGTTTTTTTCCTAATCTCTGAATTATCAGAACAAGCTCACTATGGACCATACAGATTAGAGCAATGAATTTAGGCAATGAAAAGAGTTGGACACTTACTTTGGTGCTGGCATCGCGTCCACGTGACATGGCAGAATAAGGGGCTCGTCCGGTTTCGCGTAGACCAGTAACGGTGGACTGACCACAAATATGGGTGGATAGGTGGCTGAACGAGTGAGAGAATACAGTCCAGTATGTGTGTATAGGAAGATGAAGAAAAATGTATTTGCAATGGGATATGAAAAAGATTATATAATTATGTTGATCGAAACGAGAGAGGAAGAGTAACAGCAAAATTTCATTTGGTTTTGCATGTTATGACGACGATACGATATTCACAATAAACGAATAAAATAAAATTTACCAGTGATCAAAAAGTTATGCAACCATAGATCAGCATGACTGATGTGTCCTGTCTTTCTCTACCTCACGCACACACACACACACACACACACACACGAAAACAAAGTGCCCAATTGAGAGTGTTCGGGCATGTGGATATGTACACCGCTAACGTGTGCGCGTTTCCGCGAAGCTCAATTAGATCGGCTCTGATGAGAGAATTGATAAATCCTGTGATCAGTGAAAACATTTGATGCGTCCGAAACTGAAAGCAGTCGCTTTGCAAATCAAATATTCCACAGTGTTTCTCATTGTTATTCAACCAATCCCTTTTTCACTCTTGGTGTTCATGATTTTTGATCTTCCTAGATAGTCTTTCAATCTTCACACATTTTCAGATATGCTTTCCATTTGTTACCTATTATTCCGTCAATACCGAAATAAAGTCGAAGTGTCAACCCTTTACTATGAAATGATTAGAAGATCCACTACACCAGTTGACTGTGTACCCTCGAACCGTTGGAAAACCTCAATTTATGCTATGCTGACTGAATAACTGACTAAATAACAGTAGTTGTACGTTCTTATGAAGTTTCATGTTATGAAGCACTACCGAAAGTAGAAAACCATAGGCGAGGGAAGAAGCCTTTTGTGAGAGTAAAAAAAGCGGTTGGCAAAGTGATAACATGTTGTGGAATCAACCACAGTACGAATTGGCAGTAGCAGCGTTATTTTTACTTTCACTATCTGTACGCGTCCCCCACGTGACGATAAAAAGATAAAGTCCCTAGTACTATTCAGAATTTTCTGGCTCTTCCACTATCATCCACTTTCCGTAAATTTAGTTGCTGGTCCGATTCCAGTACGTCCCGATATGCGTAATAAATAACCAGAGTTTCCTATTGTAGACAGGGAGCTTGACTCAGAAAACTCGGTCACTACCCGTCCCGCATTTTCGCTACTGAACGGTCATCCAAAAATCCTCAACTAGCTGGAAATTGTACAACCTGAAGACGTTTCCGGTATCCTGCTCCTCCACTGACAGTGAACTCTCATTCTATTGCGAAATCACAATGTCTAATCGGATGTGTCAGAGCTATAAGCTTACACCAGTTATGACCATGATGTATCTCGACTGATCTGGAATCTAGCCAATTACATAATACAACGTTGATGCAAGGAGAGTTTTCAGTCTGATGTTCAAATGGATTACGAAAGTTGATCAATTCACGCTATCTCACTACTGTTGATGGACTGGTTAGCTATTCCACCGTCAATGTATTTCTGCTTTCTCAAGGAACATCTACTACAGTCACCAACTTGTTCGCATCATGTTACGAACAAAGTGACCTAGCTCATTACTCAGGCAATGATGACCGACCTGTCGGCATTTCAAAGCGGGTTTACTTCTTTCCATTTCCCGTGCAACATGTTTATTTCCTGCTCTGGTTTAATTGTCCCAAAGGATTTCCACAAATCTCAATGGGTTCCTTACTTAGGTTTAGTTGTCCTTTTACATGATAGCAATGGGGAACTTGGTTCAATTAAATAGTGGATTTGGTAGTGTAATGACCAAACGAAGTGTGAACTGAGAAGATGGGAAGTCAGGTTGTGAATGTTTCCAACCGAGTCATAAACCCGGAGACTAGTGCTGAGATGAGCTGAGTCCGTGACCCGAAACAAGCTCGCCAAGATGGGTTGTGCTACATCGTGTAAATGGAAAATGAAAAACGGTCTGATGAGCTGTCCGGTGGCGTAGTGGGTAGCATGCTTGCGTTCTGCCCATGAGGTCCCAGATTCCTTCCCCGGTTGGATCGATGGATTCGCACTACTGATGAGACCCAACTAGGTCGAAACAGCTGTCCAGTGCTTCATAGCTTTTCAGTTCACGCTTCATTTGCTATATACATGACGAATTCCCAGTTGATAATTGTTTTTGTTCAACGTTTGCCACCCAACCCACGCTCCTATGCACATATGCGTTCAATCACGAACGTGTCACTTACCACTGTTTGAACTCGTGCCGACGTTTACACCCCCAAAATCTATAATTCATCCAATCGTTTCACGAACGTGTTTTCTCCATTGTGGCTAGTCAAAAATGTTGAAACTCCATCCCAGTGGGGGCATGAAGCTTAAATTGACTATAGACTCCACTTGACCGTCTCCTGACCTTTTATTCTAACTGCAATATGGTGTGAATCTCACTACGCTGTTCGATTCTCGTACTGATTTCATTGATCCTGTTGTGAT